TGTGGACCCTGTATGAAGGAACATTTGGTGGTTGGAGGTGTTTGACATGTGGACCCTGTATGAAGGAACATTTGGTGGTTGGAGGTGTTTGACATGTGGACCCTGTATGAAGGAACATTTGGTGGTTGGAGGTGTTTGACATGTGGACCCTGTATGAAGGAACATTTGGTGGTTGAAGGTGTTTGACCTGTGGATCCTGTATGAAGGAACATTTGGTGGCTGGAGGTGTTTGACCTGTGGACCCTGTATGAAGGAACATTCAGTGGTTGGAGGTGTTCAACATGTGGACTCTGTATGAAGGAACATTTGGTGGTTGGAGGTGTTTGACATGTGGACCCTGTGTGCAGGTGGGAAGCAGACGTGTGGTGCAGTATGGAGCTGGCATCATGTTCCTCTTAGGATCAGTTGGGAAGTTCACAGCCCTGTTCGCCTCTCTTCCAGATCCGATACTGGGAGGAATGTTTTGCACGCTGTTTGGTGAGTCTCATGTAACATTTTCCGACACAGACACACTGATGATGTCATATTAATGCAGGTGTTTTTGATGTCGCTCAGGCATGATAACAGCTGTTGGTTTGTCAAACCTGCAGCTGGTTGATCTGAACTCTTCTAGAAATCTTTTTGTTCTTGGATTCTCTATGTTCTTTGGGCTGACACTGCCAACATACCTGGATGCACACCCCAACGCCATCAGCACAGGTGAGTCYATGCTTACCTGTGTTTTGATGTCAGTATGTTGAAGTTGTGGTCAGCGGTTTCAAACAATCATAAATAGAAGCTCAGAAGTGTTTCTGACACTGTTGTTTGTAGTACAGGTGTCCCACAGAGAACAGTTCTGTCATCTTTTCTATTTACCCAGGATTAGATCTGACATCATGAACTTGTTTGAAGTTATTTATATGTTACCTTGACAAATAGATGGAACATCTATCTGTAGCTAAAGATCAATCAAGCCACTGACTGGTTTGGTTGTTGGCTTGTTTCAAACAGCCGGTGGCATGTCTGACACAATCTGGATTCATTCATTCTCTGTTCAGGTCTAGCAGAACTGGATCAGATTCTGACAGTTCTTCTGTCCACTGAGATGTTTGTTGGAGGTTTTCTGGCTTTTTGTCTGGACAATACAATACCAGGTAACAAATAAACAATCAAACACTCACTGTCCAAAGTCACAGCTGTTTTATTGTCAGTGTGTGTGTCTTTGTATGGATCAGCCTCAAGTATTTGTCATGACATGACATGACATGACATGACATGGTGATTTGACATTAGAACCTTGTGCCGCTCACAGTCGACTTCTTCATGCAGTGACTGAGGCTTACGTTTTAATGGGCTCTGTGTAAAGTGATGCTGTGTGGCTCCCCTCCTCTTTCTGTTCTTTATAAAAATATATTTGTATTTTCTGTGTATGCTGTTGGTGTAATAATATGTTGGCATTATAATGCAGTGGTTAAAACTATTGCCTCACAGCAAGAAGGTAGCAGGTTTGTCTTCAGCACACGTGGGTTTTCTTAAAAGTACTCTGGGTTTTTCCCACAGACCAAACACATATATTTGAAGTTAATTGGTAAAATCTAAAAATGTCCCTAAGTGTGGGTGAAAGTGTGAATGTGTCATATTATTATTCTGTCTCATCTGTTTCCATGTGTCCCTGTAGTGGATTTTCAAGCTGACTAGGGTGTCCCCAGCCTCTGACTCAGTGACTGCTGGAGATAGACACCTGCTGCTTTCTATAGAAAAGTAGCTAGGATGGATGGATGGATGATGGATGATGGCTGGCTGGATGGATGGATGGATGGATGGATGATGGATGATGGCTGGCTGGATGGATGGATGGATGGATGGATGATGGATGGATGGATGATGGCTGGATGGATGGATGGATGGATGGATGATGGATGGATGGATGATGGCTGGATGGATGGAAGGATGATGGCAGATGGATGGATGATGGCTGGATGGATGGATGGATGGATGGATGATGGATGGATGGATGATGGCTGGT